CCGTCTACATCGTGAATATTAGCATAAAACTCCCGAACAATGAGTGGGGGTGGAGGTGAAAGACCAACAAGAAGGGGCTCCCAACCCCGGGAAACAAAAATAGTGGCAATGTCAACAGGAAGATCAAATAAGATTACCTCACGCTCCATGAGAACGGGGCGTAAGTAGAACGTAAGGAAAAGTCGGATGGGTAATCTGAGGTATACCTAACGCTAGAGCTACGACTGACGGAGTAACTCGAAAAGAATGACCTCGAAGAAAAACCTTAAATGACGAGCCGTCTACATCGTGAATATTAGCATAAAACTCCCGAACAATGAGTGGGGGTGGAGGTGAAAAACCAACAAGAAGGGGCTCCCAACCCCGGGAAACAAAAATAGTGGCAATGTCAACAGGAAGATCAAATAAGATTACCTCACGCTCCATGAGAACGGGGCGTAAGGAGAACTGAGACATAAAAACCTCCTGAGCTGTAGCAGAAATAAATCTGGATTTAATATACGACGTCGAACCACTAGCGGGCTGCGCAAAGGGTTGAGAACGCTTACGGGCCATCTAGCACACGCAGAGATGGAAATAATAAGTAACACGAAGAACGCACGTACTACGATGCAATATGAGATGAAACAAAGCACACACAGATGAGGCACGAAAGAAATGCATCGAAAAACGTAAACGACCCGATGAACAAACCAAGCATAACGGAAATATAATCCAAAAAATATGTGTAAAAGGAACCAACACGACATGTGACGACCAGGAAACAAAGAAGGAACGAAAAGAAAAAAAGAAAAAAACAAAGAAAACAAAGGAATGAAAAAAAATATAAAAAAGGACTTTCATCGAACATATGACGGGCGCAACTTCGGCACACAATTCCAAGCACATACGAGACCTAAGCACAACGCCAAGCACATTCCAACAAACTACAATCCATGGACTTCCCAATGGAACAAACCACATACCAAACGGATGAGTATAACACAAGATAACCTCAATGAAAACGGACGAAAAACATGAAAAACACATAAACAAAAATATGGAAGAAGAAACAATTCAAAGCAAATAGATATGCAAAATGCGTGAAAGAACAACAAACTCAGTCAAGGAATGCAAGAATACCATAATAATTGAGGAATAATCAAGCAAAACACAAAAAATAAGAAATAAGAAAAAAAAAAAAGAAAAGAAACACAAGAGGAGAGCAATTACCTTAAATTTGAAGAGTAGATAGCAAAATTCAGATGAAAAATCGTGTTAAAGGCTTCAAATATAGGTAGGAAACAGAGTGATGTGAAGAAATTTTAGTGAAACCAAGCAAGAAATAACAAACGAGCGATAAAATGAAGAAATTGCGCGAAAAAACGGAAAACGGGGCTTTTAAAACTGAACTGTCGCTCGAGCGAGGCCTGGGCAAAACTCGGGCGACAAGAAATTTGCTTTTGTCGCTCGAGCGAAGTCCAGGCGAAACTCGAACGAAAACGGTTTGTCACAAATAGCACCAAACATTTGAATTTTAAGAAAAATAGCACAAAATTCAAAAAAATAATGAATTTAGCCCCAAACCGTGTATTTTCAAAATCAAGAGAATTTCTTAACATCGAAAAATAATCCCAAAATTCAAAAATGAAGCATGTAACCAAATATGTAATCGATACGAACAATAAGTATAAAATCACAAACCCGACATTCAGAGCACATAGACAAATCTTAAACCCACATATAGTTCAAAATCCCATGGAGTAAAGTGTATACAGAACATCACCGTGAAAAACGCCACGTAGTCCATGCAAGTTAGACTCAAAACCTTAAATTAGTGAGAAAGGACACGTGAAATCAACCAGACAAAGGTGTATATCTACCAAGTGACAATCAAATCCAATTCCACGAGGATCTATATCAATTAGTAGGATTGTCACAATTTTACTCCCCCTAACTGTATGCTCCCTTTTTTTTTTAATAACATAAGAACTTAAGTGCAATGCTATCCCCATTAGGTGACATAAATGACCCCGATAACGAATTTTGGGTCGGTGACTCCCAAGCCAGACGACCATAGGGCGCCAAGTTAGAAACCCCTCAGGCTTAATTGTTCGAGTCAAATAGGCCCCGAAGACAGTCATAAGTTCAACAAATAACGCAATAAAAGTAGGAAAAGACAATAATGATTAGGTTACACTCGTCCCAGATCAAGTCAAATGGACATACCACCCCAATCACAGAAGAACACCATCCCAAGTCTCACCCATGCGGTCAAGACTAACTCACAGGACAACAGTGTGTGCTGTGCGAAAATGAATGACGACCCATATATCCAGAACTCCATAGACAAAGAGAACGATGATGGAACCTCAGACTTGTACATATGATGAAAGATAGAGTTTGATCCTAAAAGCAAATGCCATAATCGTCACATAAAAGGCACACACAACAAAAAAAATCCCTTTTTTTTTATTAAACACACAAGCATAATACACAAAATAAAATCAAACGATAAATTAACACACAAAATGCACCACACACACATAGATCACATGCAAGTTATGAAGTGACTAGGTGCAGATGTGATGAATGCATGAATATGCAAGAATCCACGATCAGATAGGCAAACAAACACCAACAGCCATCCGAAGCGATTCAAACCTCAACCCATCTAGTGGTTTCGTTAGTAGATCGGCCAATTGGTTATCAGTAGAGACATGATCTAGGGAGACAACGTGTGTTTCAACAAATTCACGAATAAAATGATGTCGTATGTTAATATGTTTTGTTCGCGAGTGCTGAATAGGATTCTTAGAAATATTTATAGCACTGGTATTGTCACAGAAAACAGTCATGGTCCCTTGACTAATCTCATAATCACTCAGCATTTGCTTCATCCAGAGAAGTTGAGTGCAGCAACTCCCCGCTGCTATGTATTCGGCCTCTTCCGTGGAAAGAGATATGAAATTTTGTTTCTTACTTAACCAGGCTACGAGATTGCTACCCATGTAGAAACAACCCCCTGTCGTACTTTTCCTATCATCTGCGTTCCCTGCCCAATCGGCGTCGAAGTAGCCAGCCAAATCAAGATTAGAATTTCTAGAATAGAAAATTCCTAGATCAACAGTACCACTCACATATCTAATGCTGCGTCTAACAGAGCTTAAGTATGATTCTTTGGGATTTGCCTGAAATCGAGCACACACTCCAACACTAAAAGCAATGTCAGGTCTAGTAGCTATAAGATAGAGAAGACTACCTATCATGCTTCGATATAGGGAAGGATCTACACTCTTACCTGAAGGATCACAACCTAACTTCAAGCTAGTACTCATAGGTGTCCTAGTATGCTTCTTACTATCTAACCCAAAGCGCTTAACTAGATCCTTTGCATACTTAGACTGTGAAATAAACAAGCCATCCTCAGTCTGTTTCATCAACCATACTCATCTCAAATTCTTGCTTCAAACACTCGGCAAACTCATATGCTAGAGACTCAATAGGAGAACCAAAAATGATGTCATCGACATAAATTTGAGCAATGGTGATAGTTTCTTCAATATGTATAATAAACAAGGTCCTATCGGCAACACCTCGAGAGAACCCATGTTCCTCAAGATATGAAGTAAGTCTCTCATACCAAGCTCTAGGAGCTTGTTTCAGACCATAGAGTGCTTTGTGGAGTTTGTAGACATAGTGGGGAAACTTGGATCAAAAAATCCTTTTGGTTGTTCCACATAGACTTCTTCTTGAAGAAATCCATTTAAGAAGGCACTCTTAACGTCCATTTGATGTAACTTGAACCCTAAGGTACAGGCAACAGCAAGCAGAATCCGAACAGACTCAAGTCGTGCAACAGGGGCAAAAGTCTCATCAAAATCAATTCCCTCAACTTGAGTATAACCCTGAGCAACTAATCTGGCCTTATTCCTAGTTATAGTACCTTGGTCATCTGTCTTATTCTTAAAGATCCACTTAGTACCAACAACGTTACAATTCTCAGGTCTGAGAACTAAGATCCACACATTGTTCCTAGCAAATTGATTGAGTTCCTCATGCATCGCATTCACCCAACACTCATCACTAAGGGTCTCTTCAACTTTCTTAGGCTCTACCTGAGAAACATAGCTAGTGTAAGCTAGATTGTTCAGTACCCTCCTACGAAGCCTCATACCTTTATCTAGATCCCCAATGATATTGTCCTTAGGATGATTAGACTTGACCCTAGTCGATGGTTCCTTAGGATTTTTATCTCGATCTTGTGGATGTGTTTCCTTTTCAGGTGTTTCAGGTTTCCTAAGAGATGACTCAGACATAGGTGGCTCAGTAGGATCACTAGACCTTATAAGATCACCATTTCTATCGTCCATCCTATCACAATTTTCAACATTCTCCCCCTCACTCATAGCATCATCTATCACAACATTTACTGACTCCATCACCACACGAGTACGTGAGTTATACACTCGAAATGCTCGGCTATTTCTAGAGTACCCTAAGAAGATTCCTTCATCACTCTTCGATTCAAACTTACTCAAGTTCTCTCTATCACACAAAATGTAGCACTTACTCCCAAAGACACGAAAGTACTTAACCGTAGACTTTTTACCCTTAAGTATCTCATATGGAGTCTGATCGGTCTTGGGCCTAAGGTAAACTCTATTGATTATGTGGCATGCAGTGCTAACAGCTTCTCCCCAAAAATGTAGGGCTAGTCCCTTGCCATGAAGCATGGCTCTAGCCATGTCCTGAAGAACCCGATTCTTCCTTTCAACCACCCCATTTTGTTGAGTGATAGGGGAAGAGAACTCATGCAGTATCCCTTCGTCCATGCAAAAACTCTCAAGATTGAAATTTTCAAACTCTTTTCCATGATCACTACACATTCTAGACACTTTGATATTGAGTTCATTACCAAGTTGTTTACACAATGATTTTATAAGATCACAAGCATCAGATTTTTCCCTAAGCAATTCTATCCATGTGAACCTCGAGAAGTCATCTACCACAACAAGAATTTACCACTTACCTCCTAAACTCTCAGTCCTAGATGATCCCATTAAATCCATGTGTATCAATTCCAAGGGTCTTTTGGTCAGAATTTTAGAAGTCTTTTTATGTCTTCCCTTAAGTTGTTTACTTAGTTGACACGGTCCACACACAATATTTTCACTAGAACCTATCTTAGGCAAACCATCTACTAACTCCTTCTTAGCCAGCTGTACTAGACTCTTATAGTTCAAATGACCCAATCTTTTGTGCCAAAGTTCACTCACATCAATTTTCGCTCTCCTACACACATAATTAGAATTAGGTAGAACTCCATAACAATTATCAGATGTTCTAACCCCTTCAAGAACCACCCCACCGGATGAATCATACACAGTACATCTCTTTTGCACAAAGCTAACCTCAAAATCAGCATCACAAATTTGACTAATACTTAACAAGTTAGACTTTAGACCTTCCACATAAAGCATATTAGAAATCACAGGTAATTCATGCATTTGTACAGTACCTTTGCCAAGAATAGGTGCAGAACCCCCATCTCCAAAGGTAACCATACCCCCATTACATTCATCAAGAGTAGTGAATAAAGCCTTGTTACCACACATATGCCTAGAACATGCACTGTCTAGGTACCACATATTGTAATTTTGGGCTTTTAATGCAACATGAGCAATATAACAATGTTCTTGACCTGAATGTCTAGCTAGATCACCCTTTTTGGCCCAAACTTTCTTAGGCGACAAAGTACTCCTAGTTAGCTTAGTAAGCATCTCAGTCAAATGACTAACCTGATTAGACAGAAAGCTAACCTGACTAGGAATGTTCTGATTTCTATGCTCATTGCCTAACTTATAACATCTAGGCCTAGTGTGTCCTAGAGCTCCACAGTGGTGACAGGTGGGAATGAACCTAGGATCAAAGGTACGTGTCTGTGGGTATCTGGGCATGATGTTCCTACGTGATTGATGACTCTGTTCCCTCGGAACATTCTTACCCTTATTTGAACTACTGACAGCATTAGACTTCTTAGAGGCAGATACAAAAACAGTCTTAGATGGTCTAGCAACATGTGTATTACCCTCAACATATCCTAGACCTCTCCTATCTCCCACTGGCTTATTCATTCCCAAAAGACTATCCAATTTCTTAGTCCCACTTATGAAAGTCTGAAGATGAGCATTAGATTTTTCCAATTCACTAGCCAATGTCTTAACCTTGTCCTCTAACTTTTCGTTGACACATTTTAACTCACTACCACTCTTAAGTGAATCCTAAAGATTACTAGCAAGTCTCTCTTTTTCTCTTTCCAGTTCATCAACCTTTTTGAGTAGGGCTTTATTGACCTTTTTGATCTTTAGACTCTCCTTAAACAAAAGTTGATAGGCCTCTTGTATGTATATGTCATCCTCATCCTCATTACTAGAATTATCATTGTGAAGTTCTTCCTCAACCTTATCACTCTCCTTATCAGATTCACTCTTAACAGTCGATATAAATGCCATATAGTTCCCTTCATCTTCACTACTAGATGATTCCTGCCTATCACTGGTCTCAGATTCGTTATCTGTAAGTGAAACAACTAAGACCTTACCTTTCCCTTTTCTTTGATTCTTCTTATAACTAGGACACTCATTTCTATAGTGACATATACCTTGACACTCATGGCACCTAACCAAACGTGGTTTATCACTCGACCCTTTATTGTTAAACCTTTCAGTTTTTTCTTTCCAGAATCTGCTAGGGACTCCACTTTTTCTATCCTGAGGCTTTCTCCTATTCTTGAGAACTTTTTGGAATTTCTTGACAAAGTATGCAATTTCATCATCTCTAAGAGACTCAGTATCAGACGATTCATCCTCTTTGATGGATTTTAAGGCTATGGACTTTCCTTTCTTAGGTTGTGTGACAGTAAGTTCATAAGTTTGCAAGGATCCTACCAGTTCTTCAATTTTAACATCATCTAGGTCTTTACTTTCCTCAATGGCAGTAACTTTAGGCCTAAATCTCTCGGGCAGGGACCTAAGTACTTTTCTCACAATTTTAGACTCGAGAATTCTCTCACCTAGATTGAAACTAGAATTAACGATATCATTCAATTTTGCGTAAAAATTATCAAAAGTTTCATCATCTTTCATCCTCACTTCTTCAAACCTAGAGGCTAGCATTTGTAATTTCGAGTTCTTTACCCTTTTAGTTCCCTCATGTGTAGTTTCAAGAATGTCCCAAACTTCTTTAGCAGTTTCGCACATTGACACTCTCCTAAACTCTTCGGGAGACACGGCCATAAATAGGGCATGAAGCCCCTTGCTATTCCAATTACACTCAGCTATCTCATCTTTAGTCCATAGTGATATGTCAGTAAGATTAATAGTTCCTGATACGGTAGTGGAGGGAGGTTTCCAACCATTTTGCACACTCACCCAAACATGCTCATCTAGAGACTTAAGAAACGCATGCATTCTAACCTTCCAGTAAGCATAATTACTTCCGTCAAAATACGGAGGTACAGAAAGTGATTGACTCATCTAGACAACTATGGGTTAGGACTCGAGATTTGGCTCTGATACCACTTGAAAAGGTTATAGTTCGACCAAAACAACACCTAGAGGGAGGGTGAATAGGTGTTTATGCGGAATTTAACAATTTAATTAACTTATGTAACATGTCACTTAAATTACGCTTTGTCCAAATTCATTCACATAATTTAGCTACCCAAGTTGAATTGCCAGTTGAAATCAAAACAATAGAAAGCAGTAAAAATGCAACAAAATGTTGACGGAGAAAACCCAACTGGGTAAAAACTCCAGGCACAAGCCAGTAGAGATCCACTATAGAAGATATTGACTTACAGTACGCCAGACATAATTGAATCTAACAATACTCTGACCTCCTTACTGTATCAACCAAAGCTCTCCTGAATTTTACAGATCTGCGCCAAAATCCCAGCCTTGAATTTCTTCTATCTCCCGTGAATCACCAAGCACTCCATTTCTTCAAGCAGTTTCCTTCCCGGATCTTCAAACAGATGATCTTCTGGAAGTTGATATAGAGATTTGAATGGTGTTTTGGTTTTGTGAAGGTTGATGTTTTTCTCTAATAGAGCATAAGATGAAAAGAAAGAATTTTTTGGCTCTAGATCCTTTGGTTGTCGAGAAAAAATTTTATTTGTGTGTTTTCCAAAGGTTATCAAATGAAAAACGAAATTTTTGTTTATATAGTATGTCGTTTTTGGTAGTATAGAGCGTTTAAAATTCGCGAGAAAGGAAAATTATCAAAAGTCAGATAGCATTGTTGCTCGAGCGAAGTGCTGGCGAAACTCAAGCGACGCACTTTCGCTCGAGCAACCCCTCAACGAAACTCTAGCGACAACAGTTCTGTTATTTAGGCTCGAGCGAGGTCAGGGCGAAACTCTAGCGAGATCAACACGCCGTTTGCATCTTCAAAGCATCCAACTTTACCCTAGACCTATGCTATAAACTTTGTAAAATTGCAACACAAGTCCCTAAACTTTTGGACCTTTACAATTTAGTCCTTGATTTTACAAACTTGACAAATTGGTCCTTTGGTCACAGATTGCCAGTTACAACATTTTCCTAACATAACCTTCTCCCCATCTACAAGTTTTTCATAAAAATCGATAAGTGGCTTCACTTATTGAAGACTACTGATGCTATTTCTTCCAAATGAATGAATCCCAGAACGAGTTAAATCTATTGTAGTTCTTTCTATCCACATTCTTCCAAAAAATGCAACTCATATACCAGCACCAAAACCGGCACCATGAAGGAAGACAAAGTGATTGGTATCTAGATTGTGGAGCTTGAACCAAAGAGAACACGAGTAGATAATAAATTGAAGGCAAAATACAAAGACTTCAAATGGGGTTATTACTAATTGGTTGAGCTATATATATATAATAATTTACATATACATGATGTATTGAAGTATGATTGGATTAAATTTTTTGAAACAAATTAAAAAATTTTGATTGTATTAACATGATCTACATATACATGATGTAGTGATATATAATTAGATTATAATTTTTCAACCAAATAAAAAAAACTTCCACAATTTCTTTTTGACATCTATTCATATGCAAAGTATTATGTAATTCCATTATATACAAAATAAAAAACTTTATTACACTTTTCAACGTCACATCTCTACGTAAACCATTATATAAATCCTTGTATAATTAACATTATTCATTACTAATAGGGAAATTGGCATAACTGGTCTCAAACATTTTCCTATTTTGTATTTTGGTCCAAAATAAAATTGATGAAATTTGTTACAAGTTTTAGCACGCTTGACACAGTTGGCCCTCCAAAATTGTTTTTGCATGTGCAATGCAATTTCTTATTTGGTTTTATTTGAAGGGAAAATTTTGTAAAATAAAAAATAATAATAATAATAAGTAACAAACAAAATTTAATAAAATAAAATAATTTTAGAAAAAATATAAAAATAATCAATTTCAGATTGAATTTATCCAAATTGACCAATGATAACAACATTGCAAAGGTTTGAAATTATAGTCAATAGAGATTGGGACCAAATAGTTAAGATGAACAAAGATTTTGAACCATTTGCGCTACTTTTCTTACGAAATAAAAAGTGAAAACCTAATTGGGTTTCGTTTAGAAACCTGGCGGAACTGTACAATAGAATAGCAGCACGGAAGAACGGTCTCTGCAATACCTGGTAAGAGCCTCCCTCCGGGCCTCTCCTCATCCACCGGCTGTGCGAGTGTGATTCTCATATGATATATATATCTGTATTTTTTATACTAAAGTGTGCATTTTTTTCATATCTTGAAATAGAGCTTAGCATATTTCTAGGGATTTAACTTTCGAGAATTTACTATCTCCTTTGGGTTTTCGTGACAGAAATTTCATCGATTTTTATTGGTAAGTAAAAGACTTCTCTCGCTGCTCAATTTTCTTTTTATTGCAAATTTGTGTATGTATGGGTGTTCTGATGGATGTTTATGTCTAATTGCTATAATTTCTTATCCCCCATTTTATTTACGTTGCTGTAGGTTTATTGGATAGGTTGATTTGCCTATAAATTTGGTATCTTAGTGACTACATACTGCATTTATGTGCTTTGGATTGTTTTTAGTTGGATATGATAAAAATAAAGGCGATACATGGTAATAACTGATGCTGTGGATTAAATTGCAAGTTGTTATTTGTTTGATATACGGAAGAGAATTACCAAATACCTCCGCGCAGCTGATAATTTTGCAAGCTGTACAAGTGACTTAATCCTAGCTGTTCAAGGCAATTATGTATCTTGGGACCTACTTGGTCATGCACCTTGATGGCTGGGATTGATGCACCAGCAGCTGCACATGCATGTAGTGTACCTCATTCAGGAATATACAAACTTGTGGGAAGTATGTAACAAAGATGAAAGGAGAATTTTAGTTCTGAACTCTGTATAGCAGGTCATGGTCTTCTTCTGTTTTTGACTGTTTGAATATGTGAAATCATGAAGGAAAGGGGAAAAGAAAAGGCAATATTGGTAAAAATGGATTGTTACACCTTTCTTTCTTGGCAAAGTAAGTGTTGTATTTAAAATTTCTTAATGCAGCTGAACATTGAGAAAAAAGAAAAAAATTCAAAGTTTGAAATGATTTTCATAAGTGTGCACTTATCATTTTCTTTAGAATCGAACATGGGACAAGGTTTTTCTTAGTGTTTTCCTCACTTGAGTCCAGTATCCGAGCAAAGTCTAATAGTTTCCGGAGGAACTGAATGGGATGTATTATGATTAAATTGCATGAAACTAATGCTTGTGAAATCATTAGTTCTGAACTCTGTATAGCAGGTCATGGTCTTCTTCTGTTTTTGACTGTTTGAATATCTGAAATCATGAAGGAAAGGGAAAAAGAAAAGGCAATATTGGTAAAAATGGATTGTTACACCTTTCTTTCTTGACAAAGTAAGTGTTGTATTTAAAATTTCTTAATGCAGCTGAACATTGAGAAAAAAGAAAAAAAATTCAAAGTATGAAATGATTTTCATAAGTGTGCACTTATCATTTTCTTTAGAATCGAACATGGGACAAGGTTTTTCTTGGTGTTTTCCTCACTTGAGTCCAGTATCCGAGCAAAGTCTAATAGTTTCTGGAGGAACTGAATGGGATGTATTATGATTAAATTGCATGAAACTAATGCTTGTGATATTTCTCTTTGTATTTCCTTCAGAGTACCGTGTTCTAGCCTGAAGAGGGACATCAATAAATGGCATTTAAGAGTCTAACTTGTTTAAATTGTCTGCAACTTCTTATTTTATATCCTGATCTGCCGAAATTGATGGGTATCATTTTCAGTAATGAATGACGACGAACTGTGGTCCTTTTACCATCGCTTAGTTCTCACGAGTTGGTCTTTCTTATTTACTAAAATAGAATATGGATCAACATAGATGATGTTTAATTCTATGCTTTCGCAAACTTTTTGAAGCTATTTTTTGGTTCTTTAATAAAATGTTTTTTGATGCCCCTTTATTCCAAATTCATTATTTTGTTTCTGAAACTTTGCTATATAATGTAAAATGTTTAGTCAGTATGCCAAATCTCTTTTTTCTTTTCCACCTTATCATTTTTTTTTTGTTTTTTGTTTCCGTTGCTTATTATTCTGGTTTGACACAGAAAGTGAGGCCAATGAATGTGAATGCTCCAGAAAAGGCAAAGTTGGAGACCGTTTTGATGTAAAATTGAGTCGAATGAATATCAAGAATAGTTGAGAACGATTTAAAGGAACATCTCGTGAAAGTAGTGCCAATTGTGCCATCAGATATTGGTTATCATCTACCATGGATACAAATTCAATCCAAAATTCTGCTGGAGATAGCTTAATGAAAAATAAGAGGAGGAGGAAGAAGGCTAACAAAACAGATGAACTGCTGAACATGAATCAGATGGATGATGCTTTGGAAGTTCCTCATATTGGCAAAATTTGTACTGCTGCCGTTAATGATTTGCAAAATAATCTTATGGAGTTAGGATCACAATCACAGGCTGAACAATCTCAAATTGTCACAAAGCCAATTGAACTTCACGCAGGACAGACGGTGCTGAGAAAAAAGAAAAAGAGAGAACAGAAGAAAATGGAGGCTAAAATTGAAGGTGAACATCAAAGCGTGGATCAGATGGATGATCATTTGGAAGTTCCTGCCATTGGAAAACTTTGTAATGATGTGCAGAATAAACTTATTGTGTTAGATTCAACTGCACAATGGCATGTGGAACAATCTAAAGTGGATAGAAGGTCAACTGAAAATATTACAGAAGGGACAGTGCTGAGCAAAAACAAAAAGAAAAAACAGAAGAAAAAGAAGGCTAAAAATGAAGCTGAACTTCGAAGCGTGGATCAGATGGATGATCATTACATTGGAAAAATTTGTACTGGAACCAATAGTGACTTGCAAAATAATTTTGTTGAGTTAGATTCAACTGCACTATTGCATGTGGAACAATCTAAAATGAACTCAGGGTCATCTGAAAATATTTCTGAAGGGACAGTGCAGAGGAAAAAGAGAAAGAGAAAACAGAAGAAAGAGAAGGCTAAAAATGAAGGTGAACTTCAAAGCGTGGATCACATGGATGATCAGTTGGAAGTTCCAGCCATTGGCAAACTTTGTATTGTAGCCGACAATGATTTGCAGAATAATCTTAATGACTTAGATTCAACTGCACAATGGCATGTCGAACAATCTAAAATGGATACGAGGTCAACTGAAAATATTACAGAAGGGACAGTGCAGAGGAAAAAGAAAGAGAAAAAACAGAAGAAAAAGAAGGATAAAAATGAAGGTGAACTTCAAATTGTTGATCACATGGATAATCATTTGGAAGCTCCAGCAATTGGCAAACTTTGTATTGTAGCCAACAATGATTTGCAGAATAATCTTATTGAGTTAGATTCAAGTGAACAATGGCACGTCGAACAATCTAAAATGGATACAAGGTCGACTGAAAATATTACAAAAGGGACAGCGCAGAGGAAAAGGAGAGAGAAAAAACAAAAGAAAAAGAAGGCTAAAAATGAAAGTGAACTTCAAAGCGTCAATCAGATGGATGATCATTTGGAAGCTCCGGCTGACAATGATCTGCAGAATAATCTTATTGAGTTAGATTCAAGTGCACAATGGCATGTCAAACAATCTAAAATGGATACAAGGTCAACTGAAAATATCACAGAAGGGACAACGCAGAGGAAAAAGAAAAAGAAAAAACAGAAGAAAAATGAGGCTAAAAATGAGAGTGAACTTCAAAGCGTTGAACAGATGGATGATCATTTGGAAGCTCCAGCAATTGGCAAACTTTGTACTGTAGCCAACAGTAATTTGCAGAATGATGTTATTGAGTTAGATTCAACTGCACGATTGCTTGTGGAACTATCTAGAATTGATACTAGTTCAACTGAAAATAATACAGAGAGGACAGTGCTGAGCAAAAAGGAAAACAGAAAACAGAAGAAAAAGAAGGATAAGAATGAAGGTGAACTTCATAGTGTGGATATAGCCAATAATGACTTGCAGAAAAATATTATTGAGTTAGGTTTAACTGCCCAATTGCACTTGGAACAATCTAAAATGGATACTAGGTCAATTGAAAATATTTCAGAAGGGACGGTGCAGAAGGAGAAGAGAAAAAGAAAACAGAAGAAAAAGAAGGCTAAAAATGAAGGTGAACTTGAAAGCGTGGATCAGATGGATGATCATTTGGAAGTCCCTTCCATTGGCAAACTCTGTATTGTAGCTAATAATGATTTGCAGAATAATCTTATTGAGTTAGATTCAACTGCAAAATGGCATGTGGAACAATCTAAAATGGATACAAGGTCCACTGAAAATACTACAGAAGGGACAGTGCAGAGGAAAAGGAGAAAGAAGAAAAAGGCTAAAAATGAAGGAGAACTTCATAAGGTCAATCAGATGGATGATCATTTGGAAGCTCCTGCCCTTGGCAAACCTTTTATTGTAGCCAATGATGATTTGCAGAATAATCTTGTTGAGTTAGATTCAACTGCACAATTTAACACTGAAGAGGCTAAAATGGGTACAAGGTCAACTAAAAATCTTTCAGAAGGGATAGCACAGAGGAAAAGGAGTTGGAGAAAACAAAACGAAATGAGGGCTAATACTAAAGATGAACGTCAAAGTGTGGGTATTATGTCAAATCTGAACCTGCCGGATGTAACTCATGGAGTAGGGAATGGCACTAAGGTAATTACAAATGAGAGCACAACCTCTTTATTGCATTTGGTGCATGATACAATGAAACCTGTTGGCTTAAATAAAAACAAGGCTTCCTTGGCACCAGTTGACATTGATTCAAAATCTTATTCTGAATTCCTTGAGCTGAGATCTGCACCTATGGAGAGGCCAAGGGAGATGGAGGTTGAAATGTTTTCTTGTAAAAGCCGACATATACCTCTTCCTCATGAGATGTCTAGTAAAAATGAGAAAATCGAGAATGAGTTCAAAAAAGAAGAAAATATTGTTCATCAGGGTAAAGATTCAGCTGCATGCTCATCCTGTGATGTGGCTGTGACCAAGCATCTCTCCTCTCCTATTTTGAAGGAAGATCACTTGTCAAACGATTCATTTCTAGGAATAGCACCAGTTGCTTCTGTCAGGAGAAAACTTCTTGTTCTTGATGTCAATGGTCTACTTGCAGACATCGTAATGCCAGCACCTAAAGACTCTGTAGCAGATACACGTCTATTGGGACGGGCAGGTGTGAAAAGAATTGCTCATTATTGTGAAGCAATTCTTGATTTAACCTCATGCAAATATTAGGATGCCAAATTAGTGATTAAAATCTAACCTGCTATCGCTTTCCTCTTGTAGTTTTCAGGAGACCTTTCTGCAATGATTTTCTGAAGTTTTGCTTTGAGAACTTTGATGTCGCCATATGGTCATCAAGATCTAAGTATACATCGAAATTTTTGCTTTTTCTTTTTTATATTACATTATGGCTGGATTTTGTTTTAAGCAGATTGTGAAAGAAATATTAGCACTCTCTTCTATGCTAGTTCTGCTACCGGGTGTTTATTTCTCTCCACAAATTTTGTTGCACTAACCATAGCTATATACTTGATGTGCAGGAAAGTTATTGATATAGTTGTTGATTATTTACTGGGAGATCTACGACAGAAGTTGCTATTTTGTTGGGTAATCTTCTCCACAATCATAAAAATAAAAGGATCTACATCCAAAACTATATATTTTTCATGCCTAAATATTGTTTTGTATTTAATCATCTTTTTAATTAAGTTCTTGTTTATAGACAATTAATACCACAATTCATCTCTTCCTATCATTCTTATCACATGCCTTAACACTTCATTATGCCAAGTGATGCAAGAATTTAAGTCAAATTGATAGATCATAATTACTAACTTCTATTGTTGAGACTTTCAACTATTTAGTTTGCAGCTTTTGCACGTGATTAGGGGGTACTAAAATGACGGGTAGTAGAAATGCCACATGTGGTCACTAGTAAAGTGACACTGTTATCAATTTATTTACAGCATGTAGGCAACACTCTATAGCATGCAAATAATTGGAACGTTCACTTATTTGAACAATCTGAATGTTTTGGTGAGAGTTTATTCAACTCATATAGGCATTGGAAGTTTGGTACCTCGTGCAGTTGAATGTACCTAACATTGTTCACTCATATTTGTTTAATTTGCACTTGGATTTACAATTAACTAAGCAGTTTCTGAAAACAATGTTATGCAGGATATATCACAGAGTACTCAAACAAGGTTCAAAACTCTTGAAAACGAGCATAAACCCTTGGTCATGAAGGAGCTAAAGAAAATTTGGGAAAAATATGATCCTAGACTTCCTTGGGAGAAGGGATATTATAATGAAACGAACACATTGTTGTTGGATGATTCTCCTTACAAGGCCCTTCTCAATCCTGTAAGCTTTTCACCACTTGTTTTCTATCAGGTCTTTCTAGTTTCCTTGTTTCTATTAGTTAAAGTATATAGCCTAATTCTTAGTTCGTGGTTTGTGCTTGTTTTAGCTGCACACTGCAATATTTCCGTATTCATACCATTACAAGGACAAAAGTGACAATTCTCTAGGTGAGGTTCTTTTCCTCTCATGCGTGTTGCTTTTTTATTATTGTATTCTGTTTTGAGTCTGTCATTGACAAGGGAGGCCAGTTTAATTTCTCTAGAATCTGGTCAAACCTCAAGAGTAGAAAACAGGTAGGTGCACTTAAATAAAGTTTAATTTAGTATAAAGAGATCAGCATAGTAAATTCATTTACATGTGCAAGACACATAATTGCCATTTCTAGTGAAAAGTAATTCAAGGATTAGCGTATTGGTTTGGGAACATTGAAAAGTTTTTTGAGAATTAAATATTAGATATGCCGCAGAAGTTTTTCAAGGCCAATCTCAAGCCTTAGTAAAGGAAGAGGGGTATAAGTTATACAGTGTATGTGAAATGACTGAAATTGTTTGAAGGCTCCAAAATAAAAGAAAGGAAAACTGGATGCTTTCAATTCACAAAAAATGGTTTTCTTCACCACAAAAAATCTTCTGTTGCTTTCTCCATGTCACCAAAAAATTGCCTTGAGGTACTACCCAACAGTCTGCTTGCAAAATGACTGCATGTTTATCATAAGTATTGAGATCTTACCCAGTCCATTTATTTGTTGTACTGAGCAGTCCATGTTAATGATGGCTTCACTTTTTAGTGCTCATGAAATATCTATATTACATTTGTGGTTGATAAAATAAAATTACACTTAACGAATTAAAACTTCTTTTACTTAACTCTCTGGCTAGGTTTCATGTTTTCAAGATGTGAAATTAGATATCTTCGATGGATAGCCAAGTTCTGAATGAAGCCTTAGTGTACAACGAGGATGGCAACATGCAGCTCAATATTGCTGTTTTAAATCTTGCTGAATTTTTTGTCAATTCCTTTGCTCTATCTTTTTTATTTTATATTGAATTTTTGCACAGTATCTGTATTGGCCCATTTTTTGAGTTTGCGACAATGGAGATTGCCTCTATAATGAACTCGTATTAATAACAGGTCCTGGAGGTAATCTTCGAGTTTATTTGGAAGATATGTTAAAGTGTGACAATGTAAAGAAATATGTCGAGCAACATCCATTTGGTCAAGGTGCTATAGATGAGAGAAATATTTATTGGAGCTTCTACTCCAGGGTTCTCGAGAGTGTATCGGCTAAATCTTTCTAGAGACTGCTTACTGTTGCCAGCTTGCTCTTGGGATCCATGAAACTGATGAGCATTAGTGTTTTCCGTTTGGTCTTTGTCTTTAACATGGGGGGAAGGTGAAAACAGCAGAAGCATGTAGATGAGACAAGACAAATCTAAAGATTGACAGTTGCACAAAGTTACTTCATACACAATCAAATGTAATTCTTGTTCTTCAAAGGTGGCATTAAGACTGTCAAAGAGAAACTTTACTGAGGAAATAGAGTAGCTTTCCTCTTTCTTTTTGCTGTTCATTATTTATAAATTTTTTGATCTACTGTATTTGTAGTTTGGGCAGGAGATGAATTTAAAAGATCTTCTGGTCATTGGTGAGTGTATTTGTCATTTTTGAAACGTTGAAAAGGATGTGTCGTTCACTTATGCTTCCTGTATGTTGGGTCAGGCACTATGTCGAAATGATTCAGCTGGTTGATGACAATGCTTTGATATGTACGAAACTTCCACGAATGTTATTTTCTTTCGAATTAGCTGCTTGTCCGTCACAATATGTTCTAATGTTTCAAATTGCTAGGATTTTTAAGGTTTTGGGAGATGTCGTACTTAATTCTGTGACTGTATATGTGGACGTCAAGAATTGTAGGGATTATTCTTGAGACTACTTTAAGAAAAAGGGCACTTTGTGTTGATAACAAAGGGCTAAATTGTAGATTTCTTATTAATCATAGAAAGCAAAAGAGTACAATGCATATGCTTCTTGGGGCCCCTCCTCCTCCCTCTTGAGGAGGAATTATTTTCCACTATTTGTAGGAGGCTTTAGTCAGAATTTTGTCATATCAATCAAACCAACTACAGTATCAAGCTTGGATGATGAACCGTCGATCTACCTTTCGATTGGTTGATGAGACCGGTTTGTCATCGTGTTAATGTTCCCTTCAAGTAATGATGACCTGCAAAGAATAGGGGAGCCAAGTCGATTTATTGGGGAGTTTGGGCGATGCTGATTTCATATTTAGCAAGTGTATGTGATTGATAAGGTGATGTGACAAAATGTAAGGAATCTGTAATTATTATGTCTCTTGAGATTACGACGATAATGAAATTGAGTTGAACTCCTTAGGTCGAATTGGGATATATATGAGGGGCCTGCGAGCAATAGAAGTGAGACCAGAGATTTGTGGTTAACACTATATATTCGAATTCGACTACAAGTGTCATTCGCAAAGAAAATTATTCATTTGAGTGAATAATGCGACATTGCTAGTCAAAATAAAAATATTTTGGTGGTGACTGTTGAGACATGCAAAGATTATTTGGGCATATGAAACATATTAGTATGAGCATATCTAAATTATTTCACTCTTAATTAATTTTGGAATAAGTAAACCATCAAAATTGATTGATGGAATAAAAGGTTTTTTTTTTCCCTCGTAATTATTATGTCGAGGGATTATTGCAGAAATGGAAGACAAATAGAGGGAGTAATGATGTCAAAATGAGCCAAGCGACTTGCATCCTACATGACTCCCATACATTGAAATGCCCGGATGTGGGCTCTCTATCATTCAGTAAAAAATATAAAATGGTTGGTTGCACTTACCATTTCAAATAAGCTTGCGATATTGGTATAGGGATATAACAATGGGTGGGCCGGTTTGAATCAATCCGTCCATATAACGAACCTGTACGGCTCAATTATGTAAAGGATCGATCCACAGCCCGAAACTGACTGCTATCTTAAAAGATCGATCATTTAAATTGGACTGGCTCGGATTTTTCAGCTATTGGCCCGAGGATCGGCCCACTCGAATTACGGGCTACTATTGTAAAGAGATCCTGAACAAGTCAAGCTCATCCAATTTTACACCACTATAATTGTAAGTCCGCAGGTTGGTCCTATTAAAAGAATTTAAAAGATAAAGCGAGATATACATCAACCGTATCTTAAAATTCATTACACACTTGCACTGACAAAGATGAAAGATGTAGGCAGACCCATCCAAATGCCAACCCATTTTGACACCAAAGGAGAGAATTCAAGAATATTAAGACTAAAAGAAAAGAGCATTCCAACATTTTAATTTTAAGAGTAATGTAATTTAGTACCACTAATGTTGATTTAGGTAGTATTTATGTATCATTTTTTAATTGATTGATCATCTTAAAAGTAAGAAGACGAGTCACAATTAAGATGACCAATAACTTAAAAACACATAAATTGATGCTACAAATCATAAGATTTATGTAATCTCGCACACTCTAAAATGGATTTAGTCATTCATTATTCTTATCGGTAACAAATGGGCCCCATTGATACTTAGACAATTAACCCCCGTTTGACTTCAATTTTGTGGAAATGAAAATTAGTGGAATAATATTTTTTTGAAAAATGAGCAGTCGAAAAAGAAGGAAAAATTTTCGACTTATGTGTAATATTATTTTACGGAAGATTAGGTAGTCCAAAGTAGAAAAGGGAATAATGAAATTTAATGGAATGAATATTAATGGGGCGAGAAGGTTGGATAATTAAAGTGGCTACACCACCTAAACTCCTATGCTAAGCATCACCGGCATTAAAAATAGCATGATCGAAGCTGAATAAAATTCTCATAAGATCCGAACATACAAACTTATGAATATAAATTTGCCAAAATTCTCAATCTTTCAAACATCCCGACGGGCAGACCAGTCTACGGAAGACAGGAGTAGGAAACAACGCTCTTGCTCTGCGGCCCTGCTGCTCCTCTTCTGCAAAAGTGCAGTCCATCGCAAGGTGATTCTTATACAGATATGTTTAATTTTATCGCATTTTATTAGAATTGAGACGGGTTGAGGCTTCAAAATTTTGCAGCAGAGATTTTTTTCATATTTATATTGCTTCCGTTACAAAATTCTTCACGATTTGCGGAGAACCAAAATGTGCCATTGCAGGCGTTGAATCTTTTGGTTAACTTCCCGAGGGTTGAAGAATCGTGGTTTAATTAGAGTTGTGTCAGTGCGTATTGCGACTTATAAAAACGTCTTGTTCGAATTTTAATATAAACGTTACTTCATTAGACCGAGACGTAGTCGTAAGTCTTGTTTCTTTTACGTTTTTTCTTGTGAATTTCATTTTCGTCATTTCCCCAGAATTTTTCTTGTGAACTTCTTCACAAGGCATAAGAAGACTAATTTGCTTATATTTTCTTAGTTTATATACGTGACTTGCCTACAATTGATGGGTGCCATTTTCAGTAATTTATATGAATGATGAAATCGGTACCTTTGCCATCACAGTTAATTCTCACGGGTTTGATCTAAATGAGAAGATAGAGTGACCTATCACCTAGGTTATTTAATTATGTGCTTTTCCACACTTTTCAAAGATTGTGCTTATTTTTGGGGCTAGAAATTACTTGTGGGTGTCTAAGCATTAATGTGACAGAATATGTTTGTGAATGTTAAATCAGGTACCCGTAATCATCTACCATGTATACAAATTCAATCCAAAATCCTGATGGAGATAGTCAAAGAAGAGAAAAAGGACTGAAAAGGAAGTCTACTGAAAAACTTGGAATGCAAATCATGGATCAGATGGATGATAATTTGGAAGTACCCAAAATTGGCAAAAGTTGTTCGATTGCCAATGAGGATTTTCAAAACAGTCATCTTGAGTTGGATTCAACTGCACAATCGCAGGTCAAACAACCTAAAATTGATACAAGGACAATTGGAAACCTTATTGCAGAAGGGACTGAGAGAAAAAAGAATAAAAATAAAGATGGACTTCAGTGCATGGAACAAATCAGATATTATGTCTAGTAAAAACTTGTGGAATGTAAATAATGGACTAGAGAATGACAGTATGCTAAACAAAAACGAGAGTACTGCTCAAGAATCTGATGTTAAGGTGACCGAGCATTTCTCATCATCTATTGAGAAGAAAGATCACTTGTCAAATGATTCATGTCTATATCTGGAAATAGCACCAGTTGCATGTGTTAGAAGAAAACTTCTTGTCCTTGACGTCAATGGTCTACTTGCAGACATTGTAATGCCAGCACCAAAAGACTGTATTGCAGATGCACATATCTGGGGACGGGCGGGTGAGACTAAAATATTTCTCAATGTAGTGAAATTATTCATGATATAAAACTTATGATGATATTAGGATGACAAATTAGTGAATAAAACCTAATCAACCAACACTTTACTCTTGTAGTATTCAAGAGACCCTCCTGTGATGAATTTCTGAAGTTTTGCTTCGAGAAGTTTGATGTGGGCATATCGTCATCAAGATCCAGGTATTCGTTGACGTTTGTGCTATTTTCTGATGATGTATTTCTTATGTCATGTTTCATCTTCTATTTGCCAAGAGTAATCTAATTCTTAAAGAAATATTAACATTAATTTCTTTGCTAGCTATCTAACTGGCTGTTTGTTTCCCTTCCATAATTTTCTAACACTAACCTTAGCTATATATTTGATGTGCAGGAAAATTATTGAGAACTTTGTCAATTATTTATTGGCAGATCTACAGCACAAACTGCTATTTTGTTGGGTAATCTTCTTCATAACTATCCAAATAACTAGGGAGCATGTCAAAATTATTTTTTACTTTTGCACAATTGAACGCGTCGTCAACAAATCGTCGACACATCAAATATACATCGTGTTAGACATCAACACGTTGCCGGAACATGTCGAAAATGCTAGGCGATATGTCTAAATTATATTTTATTTTTTAGTGTTGGATACTACAATACTGCCAACACACTGGTTGATACATTGTTGACACAATGGAATTTACAAAAATAAATTTACTTTAAAATATAAAAAATTAAAAAAAAAAATTAATATTATTTTAATCAGCTTATTAGAGATGGATTGTGTCGGTGCTTTTGTGAAAAACAGCATTTTGACATGTCCATCTTGTCTCCTGTCTGTATCACCAGGGCTACAACCTGCCAATCATAATTATTGAACCATATAAATGTTCTTGATGAGAGGTTATTCAACTCATATAGGTGCGATTGGATGCTCAACATGTGTTAACTTAGGCAGTCAAACTTACCTGATCTTATTCAACTCATATTGGTTGATTTTACTCTCGGATTTAGATGGCAACAGTTTGGATTGTAATTGAACCTTTTTTGCAGGATATGTCGCATAGTACTCATACAGGGTACAAAACTCTTGAAAACGTGCAAAAACCCTTGGTCATGAAGCAGCTAAAGAAAATATGGGAAAAAGATGATCCTAATCTTCCTCGGGAGAAGGGATATTATAATGAATCGAACACATTATTGCTGGATGATTCTCCTTACAAGGCCTTGCTCAATCCTGTAAGCTTCTCACTAGTTTTCTGTCAGGTTATTCGATTTCCCATGAAATATTTGTTTTACATTTTTTATGGAAAAATAATTTACGCCTTACTGAATTCAAACCTGTGTCACTTAACTCTGCGGCTAGGTTTCACTTCTAAAGATATGAAAGTATGAGCTCAAATGGCCAGCCAAGTTCTGAATGAAGCTTTAGTACACAACACGATAGTAACATATTTTGAATACAGAATTTTTCAATCTCTGATTTTGCTCTGCCTTTTCAATTTAGAAGAATTTATGCACAATATCTTTTCACAAATTATTGGATGAAGGATTGACTATCAACTGAAGGCTATGCACCGTACTGTCCCTTTTCTTAGTTCATTCCATGGAAGATTACTTGTATAATACACTCATTCATCACAGGTCCCGGAGGTGATCTTCGAGTTTATTTGGAAGATATGTTGATGTGTGACGATGTAAGGAAATATGTTGAGCAACATCCATTCGGTCAAAGTGTTATAGATGAAACGAATGTGTTTTGGAGATTCTACTCTCGGGTTCTTCATAGTGTGTCCACTCAATCAGTCTAGAGAGACCTCTCTCTTCCCTGCTTGCTCATGGGATTCATGAACTCGAGCGGCTATAGCATTTTTCTTGTGGTATTTGTCTTTTACATTAGGGAATATGGAAAAGGTCCGCATTTAGACAAGGATGATTCAAGCATACAGAATGACACAGAAGGACAACATTACTTCAACAAATTGCTGCTGATGATACTTGGCATAACAAAACCAAATTCATCCAATAATGGACCTTCAGAGGATGCCGCCTAAACTTTCTCCCTCTTTTCATTTATGGTGGCCTTAAACTAATAATGAGTAGAAATTTGGCTGAGATTTTGTACGTTGGATTCCCTCAATTCTTTTTGTTGTTTATCATTACTAATAAATTTCTTCGTCTACTATATTTATAGTTCAGGTCCAGAAGTTGTATTTAATGGATCGTCTGGCCATATTATGACTGGCATTTGTCAGTGTTTGAATGTAAAGCTGCTTATTTATAGAGGAATATGTAATGATTGTGCTGTTTACACCAGCTTCTGCTTTATATTGTCAGTTACTCTGGCAAATCGATTCAGCTGGTCGATGACAATGTTTTGACATGTTTTAAAACTATCATGTTGCCAGGATTTTGAAGTATGTTTCTGTTGTTTCTAATATATGGAAATGTTGTTATTGAACATGCTTATTTATCGTTGTTATCAGTAAATAAATTTAAGCAGAATATATGGGATTGCTAAATTCCATCAGAAAAAGTATTAAGCTCCCACATACATGCTGTTTTATTTAATTACACTCATGTGTCAATTGGGCACGGATATGGAAACAGGTTGGTTGGAAACTAAGCCTAAAAGTCTGTAGATCTTTTTGGGCCTTAGTACCAACAGATGAATGTCAAGACATCTAGAACTTGAAGCAATGGTCTAATAATGGTTGAATTTGAAGTTACCATTTACTTTGTTTGTATGATTCAAATGTCTCGTATTTCCTGAAACGTTGATTTGATTGCATAATTTTGGCATGCTTAAGATAGAAAAATAAATAAATAAATAAATAAATTCATGTAGAGTGTAGATGATCATCGGTCTATGTGATAGTGGATTGCAAAAATGGCTTCATTTAGACTATAGATGAATATCATTACTCAACTATGGCTATAGAACTCCAATTTTGAGGATGATCATCTAGAACTCCAATATCACGGATTGATGATCATCTAGACTATAGATGAATATCATTACTCAACTATGGCTTCATTGATCATTCACTTTTTTAAATTTTTAGGAGTTTGATGTCGATTTCTAGAATGCCATCTGAAATCAGAATAAAGCAATATGCGTAAATTTAGTATGTAAGACTAGACTAAATAATATAAATATCCCTTAGTTAATACTAGAACGATTGTCCATTTTGCCTTAACAAATATATGATATGATGTATATAGTATGTTAGACTAAGGGTCCGTTTGATTGCAAATGTGAAATTTGAGTGGAAAAAAAAAAGAATTACAGGGAATTGAATTGATGGGAAATTGTTTTCTTGGAAATTATAAATTATTGTGTTTAATTGGTATAATTTTTCACGTGAAAAATGTTGAAAAAAAAAATTTTTTTGGTGTTCGTTTGTCTTTATTTTACATAAAAATTGTCAATTAAAGGTATAGAATTTTCTGGTATTAGAGATGAAATTTGTTTCCATTGCAAAAAAATAAAAAAAATTAAAAAATAAAAAATTCAAGAAAATTATCTATGTTTTGATGTTCGTTTAGCTTTATATTACATGAAAATTGTCAATTAAAGGGAAATATTTTTTTACAATTAGGGATATAATTTGTTTCCATTACAACAAAAAAAAAAAAAAAAAAGACGTCAACATTGCCTGGTGGGAATTGATTTTCCCACAAAAGCTGGAAATTGTCTACGTGGCTGGAAAAATGGAGAAAACCTATTCCCTAGAAAATAATGGTATCAAACATGCAAAAAATAGAACTTGAAATTGAAATTCCTAGTTCCATGGAAAACTTTGCTTCATCAAACACTACCTAAATGAAATTGAACAGACTTGATCTCAAGCATCTGATGTATACCAAGATAGAAGGGCACGTACTGAACTAAAATATTGTTTAGTGATTGCAATGCAAGGACAAGCATGCCAATCCAAAGCCAATTGGCCTAAAGCATTTAATTATTGTTATCTTTTGCTGGTAATGTAACACCGAAAATCTGGAGGAAATAGTGGCAGATAGCCACAAAAAAAAGACATTTTTTCAAAATGGTCATTGACCACTGTTTAAAAAAAAATTTGAAAAACTTGTAAAAACTTTAAAAACAATGAAAACTCAATATTGTCCTTAACAAATCACTCTCAAATCGACGTCTGAAAAAGAAGGGAAAGAAATTTTGTTGGAAATAATGATAGAAATCTTTGAAAATTATGTAAAATTAATGAAAATTACATTTTTTGAGGTGATTTTGGAAAAAAAATGGCGATCCTCGGTACCTGGACCGGAAAAGAAAGAGAGGAGAGGACACCTAGACGACTGACAAAAAGACGGCCCAGATCATCTGCAAAACAGACGGCAGTCGGGCCAAACGGCTTCCCTCAAATTTTTTTTCGTTGTATTCCATAAATAATTTAAATACACAAAAATAAATAATGATCATTTAAATAATAAATAGATTATTTAAATGATAAATAAAAAATGCAAATAATGAATAAATATTAATAATCAAAATATGCAATTAAAATTTAATTGAAATAAATTTCTAAAATTTAAAATAAATAATTAAATATTTATATTTACTTGTTCAATAAATAATTTAAATAATCAATCAATATAAATAATTAAATCAAATAATTTAAATGAACAATTGAAACAAATAAATAAAAAATAATTTGATAAATAATTAATTTAAATGCACAAAAATAAATAATGAACATTTAAATAATAATTAAATAATTATTTGAATGATAAATGAAAATTGTAAATAATGAATAAATGTTAATAATCAAAATATGTAATTAAAATTTAATTGAAATAAATTTCTAACATTTAAAATAAATAATTAAATATTCACGTTTACTTGTTCAATAAATAATTAAATAATCAATCAATATAAATAATTAAATCAAATAATTTAAATGAACAATTGAAACAAATAAATGAAAAATAATTGGAATAAATAATTAATTTAAATGCACAAAAATAAATAACGAACATTTAAATAATAATTAAATGATCATTTAAATGATAAATAAAAAATATAAATAATGAATAAATTTTAATAATCAAAATATGTAATTAAAATTTAATTGAAATAAATTTCTAACATTTAAAATAAAAATTAAATATTTACGTTTACTTGTTCAATAAATAATTTAAATAATCAGTCAATATAAATAATTAAATCAAACAATTTAAATGAACAATTGAAATAAATAAATGAAAAACAATTATAGTAAATAATTAATTTAAATGCATAAAAATAAATAATAAACATTTAAATAATAATTAAATGATTATTTAAATGATAAATGAAAAATGTTAATAATCAAAAAATGTAATTAAAATTTAATTGAAATAAATTTCTGACACTTAAAATAATTAATTAAATATTTACGTTTACTTGTTCAGTAAATAATTTAAATAACCAATCAATATAAATAATTAAATCAAATAATTTAAATGAACAATTGAAACAAATAAATGAAAAATAATTGGAATAAATAATTAATTTAAATGCACAAAAATAAATAATGAACATTTAAATAATAATTAAATGATTATTTAAATAATAAATAAAAAATGTTAATAATGAATAAATGTTAATAATCAAAACATGTAATTAAAATTTAATTGAAATAAATATTCAAAATAATTTATTTAAATAAGTAATTAAATATAAATAATAAAATTTAATTAAATAAAGAATTGAAATAAATAATAAATAATTGAAATAAATAATTTTACAAAAATTAGTTTTTCGCTTTTTATAATTTGTTGTCTAATTTTGTAATTCATTTTTTTTATTATCTGTTATTTCGTGCTTATATTACTTACAGTTCGGTTAGTTGAATTTTGTGACATTATGTTTCAAATGTTCTAATATTTGAAATTTTGCAGGATGGGTTATCATTTGGACGCCGCCTTGAAACAGATTATTAATAAAGTTACGTCAAACTGTAATTTTGCTAGCTTCACAGCAGTGTTGGATTCAACCGTTTGGATTGGTCCAACGTGCCAACCATTTTTTTATTTTTTTAATATTGAATTTAATTATTTATAAACATTTCATGAATTATGTAAATTGTTTATTTAAGTAAAATGATTAATTGTTTTTTATTTCATTTTATTTAAAATATAAACAATGAAGTAAATATAATAAACAATTCAATATTCAATAAACAATTAAAATAAATGATAAACTACTATAAATAATTAAATGAAGTAAATAAATATGAAATAAACTATTAAAATTAGTAATTAAATATTAAACAAACAATATACATAACCAATTAAAATAGTTAATGAGATATTTAAATAAAAAATTAAATTAAATATTTAATAAGTAATAAATCAATATTTAATTTAATTGTTTATTTAAATATTTAAGTAATTACTTTAAATTTTTATGTATATTATTTGTTTAATATATAATTATTCATTTTAGACTTTATTTGTTTATTTAAATATTTCATGAATTATGTTAATTATTTATGTATATTGTTTATTTAAATAAGTAATAAATAACTAATTGAAATAAATTAAATAAATATTAATAAAATAATTAGTTGAAATAATAAATAACTAATTGAAATGAATTAAATAAATATTAATAAAACAATTAAAATAATTAATTGAAATAATAAATAACTTAATTGAAATAAATTCAATAAAAAAGTAACTTAAATGTTAATTAAGCAATAAAAATAATTAATTGACATAAATAACAAAGAAATATAAATATTTTAAATTTTATAAGATTGATTACCATTTGGATGTCACCATGAGACAGATTCTCGTCAAAGTTACATCGAACTATAACTTTTTCAGTTTCGCATTAGTCCTAAATTTTTTGGGTGAGGAGCACGCAGACCTATTACATCGATTCTGCTTATGACTGTAACTCTGGCACAGTTAGGATATGCATTCAAGGAATGCGACGATATGTTTGACAAATTGAAGTTGGGGATGGTGTTTATACTATAAAGCATACTGAGGTATCATCATAAGAAGACGTCGATCGGTGTCTTTTATTTGAATGTTGTTGATGACATTAACACATTCAACAACTATCCATAGGGACAAAACTGACAGTTATCAGTTTTCCTCAACGATCCTGAGATACATATTATTCATTTGTGATTTATGTTGTACGTCATTTCGAAATCTAGATGCGTGGTCATTAACTCGGTGAAATATTAATATGTCAGCTTGAATTGCTCACTGAGTTGATATCGTTGATCGAGGAGGAGGGTCAAAATCATATCCGAGGAGATACAATATGCAAGCGATAGGGGTCCCAGATAGTGACAGAGAGTAGTGGATATTTGATCCGATCTGATCCAATAATCCGACAGATATTTGAATTTTAAATCCATATCCGATTAACTCTGTTAT